TCTCACGGCGGAGGGGCCCTCCTGTGTAAACCCTGGGTGGGTCAAAAGACCTTTGGTTCTTCAACAACTGACAGCTTTTTGAGCTACGAGCCCAATTGTGATGTCCATGTCAAGTTGGGAGATTACTCTTTCATTGAATTATATACGCAATTACCAGCTGTGAATCGCGTTAAACAGTCCTTCCTCATATCACCCTGACTCGAGATATCCTCGAAGTTGGGCTCAAATTTCAAAACCCCCTTCCCGTTCCCTACCGTGTCTAAGACTCAGACCTGAGAACCAACCCACCACTGATTTTTATCTAGCCTCAGCCTCTTCACGCTCATTATCATGTCAGATGACGAGGCAGACCCAGAGCTCCTGGCTCTTCTAAGGCAGCATTACCTGGGGGAGCCGAGTAGACGCGAGGAGCCCGAGACAGGCGTTTTAGAAGGCGCCGAATACGTTTACGACAACTCCATCGACGTAGCGCTGGACATGAGAGCGACCAAAAATGCGGCAGCTATAATCTATGAGCAGATGCAGCAGAAAGAGTTCTCGACTGAAAGTTGGTCGGAACACGAATTGCACCCCAAGACCAAAGATGAATCTACAGTGGCCTTCATCTTCACCATGGACCTGCTCAACTTCTCGTTCTGGTCCTTGCGCCCGGAAGATGAGCGCTTCGCTGTTTCTTACCGAGACAAGACCTGGACTGGATATTGGAGTTTGGTTGCTTCACTGCAGAGAGCGTTGGACGAAGGTGGGTAGTGGTTTCAACGGGCACACTCCTTGTTGACTTGCCTTTTTTTTTTTAATATCTCTTCTTGTATCCTTAAGGCGAACATAATTAATGCCAATCTTAAGATATTCCCATAACCGATCCGCACTACTGGCAGAATGAGGAGGAATGCAACATGGAATCCCTAAAGCACGTATTTCGATCGTGTACTGACGAGGAGATACCCCTGCTGGAAGCACGGCTTGCTTGTTTGAGAGAGGCAGGGCAGGTTCTATACGAAGTAGGTTAATCCAAATGGCATTGCAAAATGGAGATAACGCATCACCAACGCACCTCGGCTTTCTGCAGAAATACAACTGCAGCTTCACGAAATGCATAGAAGCTGCCAACAAGTCGGCCGCGGGGCTGGTCAACCAGCTTGCTCAAGACTTTGACTGCTTCAGAGACGAGTTCCGCTTCGAAGGCAGACGCAAACCGATCCGCTTCCTCAAGCGTGCACAGATTCTCGTAGCGGACATCTGGGCGTGTTTCAACGGCGAGGGTTATGGAGAGTTCCGGGATATCGACAAGATCACCATGTTCGCCGACTACCGCGTTCCGCAGATCCTAGCTACGTTAGGCTGCATAGGATACAGCCCGCCGCTATTGGCCATCGTAGCCAGGGGAGACATACTAGAAAGCGGGCACAGTTATGAAATACAACTCAGAGGTAAGTATCAATATACTGAGCTGCCATTTCGACGAATGCTGAGTGAAATATTGTAGCTTGTAGCATCTGGTGTGTAGAGCTTATCAGACGCGAGATCAAACGCCAACATCCCGAGGCGAAGATCAATGCTATTTTGATAGACTTTTTCTTATATGATACCATGAAGCAATTAGAGGCTCAAGGGAAAGAGACCATACCACACCATCGGACGAGAAGTATTTGGTACTAATCCGTTTGGATAAATGGATCGCGAGAATAGTTTGTACATAAGCAATCGGAGTTGGCCATCAGCCAGCAGAATAGACGATTAACATTCCCCCATGTCCAAGCCAATGTCAAATGCCGATCAGTCGCAGCAAGACCTAGACAAGCAAATATTAAGAATCCCCAACGCCAGCGCATAACGATCATAACCATCGCAAGAGAGTAGGTTCCAGCTGTCTCCTCGTTCAACGAACCCCCATTCGTTAGACGTAAAGCCGTCTTTTCACCGTGCCGTATTTTAAGACGAACCAACAACGGACGAGTTGAGGATCTCGTCTATATGAGCCCTTTCAAGGCCCGTAGTGCCCTTCGCCTCTTCCTTCAGCAGCACCGCGAGGACTTCAAGCGGCGGATTGAGGCCCAATTTCTCGGCCCGCTTCCAACGCTTCATGCGGGTGATTCCAACGCAGGGCTGTTGGTCGAAGCGTTAGAAACCACATTGAGCACAGTAGAGCGGCGAGGACTTACTCCGTACTGAGAGCTAACGTCCCAATATCGCAACACCTTCTCGGCCAGAGTCAGATCCTCTTGATGAACCCTCTTGGCCACGCGCTCGCGCTCCAGCTTCCGCCAGTATACTTCTATATGTCGATGGGTGATCTTCTCGGCGCGCAGCTCCGCCTCCGACTTCTCGGGTTCCGGCTCCGGCTGCTCCACCTGGGGCTCCTCGTCGACCTCGACCTTGACTGCTTCGTCTTCGGTGGTCGCTTCCTCCTTCTCGGCGGGAGGAACTTGTTTCGCTAGCGGGCTCTGCTTCGCGGGCTTGGAGAGGTCTTTAGCTGACTTGGGAGCGGACTTGGTCACCCGGTGGTTGAAGGACAGCGTCGATTGCCTTCCGGTAGCGCGGCTATTGCTGCTTGAGCGTCTGGTGGTAGGCATCGTGGCGATTTGTAAATGATGCTTGGACTTCAGTGTCTGAGAAGAATCAATGCCAATCCTGTAAAAATGGACGATGAAGTATAAATACCTAAGGACGATGAAATGTGCGATTGAGATGTTGTGGGTCTGAGATGGTTCAATGGTGGATTGTGGAACGGTGGAATGACGTGAGGGATTCCTCATATGGCAGCAGCTTTCAGCTTAACTCAAATTGGCGGGGCAACACGAAAGGTGTGCGTCATCACGTGATCAAGACCCTCATATTCCATGAGTTATCTAATCCGTCCCCCGATTTTCTCTTTGTGGCATCAACCTCCTAAGTACGAAGGGGAAAACTGGCGCTGCCTTCTGACACAACCTCATCCTTCAGTTTGACGAGTGAATCGTGATAATAACATCAGCATGCGCCTCGGCAAAAGCCTTCACAGTTAGTAAGAAGGATTATCTGGCAGGGCATATCCTCTCTGATTGATCGAAGAGCCTACTAAGGACTAGATTATCTGCTTGAGGAGTTCCGTGGCGGCAGCCTTGGGACGCGTCTTTCTTGTGAGGCAATAGCCTCACATAAAGAGAGCACGAAACGCTGCACACTTCTCATCCTTCTCTCGTTTGCCCCTCGGCCTTCACGAGATGTCATTTCCCTAGTTCTCCTCGTTTACATCTTCGCCCGCATGATCCTCATTCTCATCTTCATCTGCATGATCCTTATTCTCATCTTCATCTGCGTGATTCTCATTTTCATCTTCATCTGCATTGTCCTGGTCGCTTCGGGCTTCGTTCTCGCGCGCGTACAGTTCGGATGCTGAGAGGTCTGATGTTAGTTAACATACAAAATATTCCAGTAGCAGATAATGCTTGCCTTCCTGTATACTCTGTCTGCACATGCGGAAAAAAGTGAAGAAGTCATTCTGGTAGGCGAGTTGGAGCATCATGATGAGAAGGAAGTCAGACGAGATACCCATCTCAGCTGCTGCTTCCCCGAGGCTCGGATCTGTCGAGTCCCATTAGCGCAGCCCTTCGAATCCCAAGTGTGAGCCGTGAATACCATGGCGAGCCATCTGATAGAGGCTGGTAAAGTTAGGGTTAATCCAGAAGTCTCTGAGGCGTCCTCTAATCTCAGATCCTTGTCTTGCAGATTCGTCTGGTGACTCATTCGATGGGCAGCCCGAAGGCTCGTTGGAATTGTTCGATTCAGTTGACATCTTGACTTGTGGTATTGACGATGAATTGCTTGGTTGAAGTGTGGGGAGAAAAAAGCGGGAAGTGTCAAAAATTGAACAAGATGGTCTAGGGATGGCACTGGCCTAAATTACCAAAAGATACGCGTGTGGTCGCCGAGTTGCCAGGAGACAGACTTGTCCCCCAGTAACGCTGGTAGCCCTCACGCCCGACGGAAGTAAACAAGATTCGCACGGCCCTGCTTGCCAATTGACGCGCAGGTGCCCGCCTGTCAAAGGGCTATCCAAGTATTGAATATTTACATTCAATATACCCCGAAAGTGTTTTCTTGGAAAATCAGGACTGTTTGCCTCCTTGGAAAGGGCGACGGTCTAGTTTGAGATCTGTTGTTTGAAAAGTGGGACGCCAGCAAGAAGGGACTCGCCAGAGGCTTATTAATGGTGCAGAATAGATATATAATATCACGAATATGCAAATCTACATAAGGTCCAGAAACACTTAGTCCGCTAGTGACACAATTGGCATGGATCTCAGTCGTGACATAGGTTAGAGCACCACCTTCATTCCCTTATGTATTGTTTAGAAGCGATGGGGACTCTCTTGCTTCCTGGGGGACATGTGTGGCGATCTGTTCATAAGAGACAAGGCTTCCTTCGTCTGCCGAGAAATTTCCTATCTAGAACTGCAGAAGCGACCAATTTTCCAAGGTGAAAATCGGCACCCAATGCGAAGTCTGACTGTCATCTTTTGAGAAGCGACCTACAAGTACTTGCCATCTTAAAGTGTTACATACCTATCTAGGTATACTATCTGTCCATCTGGAAAAAGTAGAGGCTAACGTGCTCAGTGGAAAAGAGATCAGAATAAGTTGGGAATAGTTCATTTGGTTCATTCGGGTATTGTGGAATACCCCTATTTCGAGCAATACAGAATTCGTTGCATGAAAGGTTCCCTCAACAGAAAGCATGCATATAGTTATCGAACGAAACAGACACTAATACAGAATCTTCGGAAAAGGCCTAATTGCATATGGTGAAGAAATGGGCGAAAAGAAACACAGCGTCTGCCTTATCGTGAAAAAGGTATCGTATGTCATCAAACTCGATTGTCTGGAAAAGTCGGGGACAATCATCCTATTCTCGAGAGAAGAGAACTTCAATTGTGCATACGGGGTGAAATAATAGACAGTCATGGTAGGTTACTAAAGACAATAGACGAAAAAAGAGAGATGAAGAAAAAAAAAAGAACGGGCGCCTAGGGGGATCGAACCACTGACCTCTCCCAAGTGCATAGACCCAAAGGGAGCGAGTTAACCACTTCTCCAAGGCACCATTGGACTTCCAATTCGTCAATTCTGTGATGGTAATTTTCAAATATAAGTCGTACTTCGCAGTTCAGTTCAGCGTGCCATGGACCAGTGGGTAGGCCATGTTGCCTACAGCCGGTCTTCCGCTCTTGCCAGGCGACGATAAACTCTAATGTTGGCATTTTTATGCTATTAATTATGCAACGCGTTGTTCACAAAGGAAAGATGTAGTACAATTCCCTTTAGGGAGGCTCACCCAGTTGTTCAGGTGAAGAATTCTCGAGCTCTTCTATAGAAGAGACGCTCCCCCGTTAAAAAGGGGATTGTTTGACTATCGAGAGCACGTTACATCTCCTGAGGGGAGCTATAGATCTTTTATATAAAAAATCGCAGTTTATTTCTGACTCATTCATATGAATGGCAGTGACAAAATACATGAGTTACTCGAGTATCTACCAATATCAAAGCATACCTGTAACAAAAGTCATTGGTCTAGACAACCATGGGAGTACTAAGTTACCAAAAGGTTTGATCAGTAGCAACAGAGACAAGTAGATAGCAAAGTCAGGGGTTAAATGGATCCAACTAACCTACAATCTCGTAATACACCAAAACGCTTGCAGAATTCACTTTATGACCATGGTCAAGTTCATGATGTGTCAAGGAAAGATTATCGACAGGCCGGAAACATCGGGTATCTGTTAATCTGCAACTAAGGGCCGTAACAACTTAGCCTCTCCTTACACACAATCTCTCACTTTACCAACAATTTCTCTGCATTATAAAAGCACCACTATAAAGCCAGTTTCATGGCAGTTCGGGAGGTTTACGACTTCCTCTCCCGCTTCTATCACCGTTTCATAGTTCCCCGTTCCGCTTGGGGACTTTCTCTTCTTTCACCTCCTCCTCTGCCTCGCTCTCTGGCTTACATGCCTTCTTCTTCTCATCCTCGGCCTTCGCCTTGGCTCGGGCTTCTGCGGCCTTCTTCTCAGCAGCCTGATACATCGCAATCTCTAAGAGACCAGATCAGTTACCCATATCCCAGAGTTGATCTCCAACTTGTAGATAGTCATGTACAGATACGTACCTGCGTCAAGCTCTTGCTGGCATGTGTCTACACTCTTGTTGACCATGGTTGCAAGCACGTCAATCGGTCGAACGTTAAGTCTACCGGCTATGCTGTGCGTGATGTGGTCTAGGTAGAAGAGTTAGTCCAACAGCTTTGATGCGCTATGTGTGAGTTGATTCGTACGGTCTACAATGAATTCGTAAAGGCCCTTAGCAGAGGTATCCTCTTGGTAGAGCTGGTACAGCTGATCGAAATCAGCAGGCGTGATGCGGTATCTGCCCGACATGTTGGAGATGTGGTCGCGCGTCGTGTCGATGATATCTCGGATCCGTTGTCTGGCCGACATTGTGGCGGCGGAGGAAGTCCTGGCAGGACACCTGCTTGTTACTAAACCAAGAAAATAGGGAACCGACGACCCAGTGAGGCCTGCACACCGTCCACTTCGCTGCGTGTATTGCCTTTAATGCAGAATTGCAATATTCAGACTCTCCTGAATAGCTTTGGAGGGCGTCGCAAACTTTTGCTTCCATGTTGTGCGCTTCATTGCTTCAACTGAACTGCCCGCGCGTGTCATCGTCCAGCCGACAACACCTATGCCGCCCGGACTTTCACGTCACTATCGTGAATTTAAGCAAGGTACCCCCCTAAACTTCCAGTCAACAGTCAAATTCAGAGACCGTCAGCAGTAGCACATAAGGCCGGAATCCCAATCACCTCAGCTATGAACCTATTAGCTGGAAGTTGCTCTACCGAAGTGAATAGGATGTCTTACCGAAGAAAGCGAGCCTAGCTGCATGTTTACAAACCGAAGCTGGCCAATAGGAGTCACAGAAAAAAAAATATTACTTACGGGATGTTTGTCTCATAGCCCTTTGTCCCAGTAAAGCTATGACCAGCCCAGTAAGAAAGCGTGTTCATCACCAAAATACATTCTGTCTGGTGTCTATCTTGCGCGGTCGCCATCGAAATGGCTCTGCTCCCCGTGTGTATCATGCGTTGGATTGCCGCCATGGTGATAGCTGCCATTTGCATTTTCGCACATGATGAAAAAAGGAAAACGTTACGGGGCTTGGGTCTACTTCTCAGCTTATATGTATAATTATGAGGAACCAGTGAGGCCCAGTTGAGGTCGTGGCCATGCTGGATTGGTGCCGTAATACTTGCCCACCTCCGCAACACCCAATGATATCGTCATGATTAAAATCGCTCAAGAGTAAGCTTCATTCTGTAGATGATTCAAGCTATGTAGATGAGCAGCAAAACCATTTGCCAAGGGTTTGTTGCCCGACGTAGATGTCTAAGATATGGGACTGTCGTGACTTTGAATGAAATGTGGACACAACTGGTTTTCTTCAAAGTAGGATAATTACAGGTAGAGTATGCGAAGAGTTTCGAACACATAATATTCATACACTCAGATAACTGATGCCATTCACTGTGTAGCGGTAGGAGGCTCATATCACGTGGATGATGGAGGGTGCTTTACGTTCTTGGCGCCCACGAGATAGGGGGAACTTCCAACACGCATAAGGGTTAGAAAGGGTAACTGACTAGTACTATTCAGAGTAATCTGCAAAAAACTCAGCAAATATCGAAGGCAATCTTTCAAGCAACTTTCTATTGATTCATCTAAGCAAATCACGAGATTGAAGGAACCAGCATGTTGTCAAAATGATGCCAAAGTTGGCTTCTATGTACTGCACAAAAGCGCACATGTAACCTAAGATACAAAGAAGCATCCTCTCACTCCCCGTGAACCGCGCGACCGAAAAATCAATTACTAGAGGGGGAATAAAGCACATCAAAAACACGGGTCATTCATACCCCACTGCTATTCTGAGTGGAAAACACAAAACATCATTATTCAGCCCAATGACGTCTATTCAACCGACCACCTAGATCATTGTGAAACCCGCAGTGAAGCACAGGGCGACCACCGCCGGGATGATCATAATAGCAGCGGAGGCAGCACCCTGCGGTGCCAGTGTCGGGGCGGCGTTGTGAGAAGAGTCAGGAGTGCCAGAAGAGGTGGTGCTGTCACCCTGGGCACCAGGGGTGTTAACCGCATCGTCAGCGAGAGGCTTAACGGCGAGACCAGTGACTGCCTTGCCGTTGGCATCTTTGACCGACTGCGTAACGGAGTAGTTGCTGATGTCGACGATCTTGCCAGAGGGCTTGGGAGAGACACCGTTGTCGATGATCTTCTGAGCTCCAGGGGGAACGGCAGGGATGGTGAAGTTGTTGTTGAATCCATCCTCCTTGATGAGGCTGGCCTTGCATTCAGGAGCGGTAACCTTAGCGTTGGTGGCCTTAACACCCTGGACCTTGCTGAAGTCGATCTTCTTGTACTGGTTTTGAAGAGTGGCGTAATCAGTGAGAAGTTCAACGGTTCCGTCAGAATTGCACTGAGCAAGACCGTAGTTGTTCTTCTCCTGAGCCCATTCGTAGACGACACCACCCGAGAAGGTTCCCATCATCTGGTCGCCATAGATGGTACCGATCTCAGTGAAGACACGGGGGGAAGGGGTGTTGCAGCCGAACTCGGAGTAGAAGACGGGGACAGAGCTGCTCTTGAACATAGCAACCAGCTGGTCGTATCCAGACTCTTGGAAGGAGCTCTCACCGCACCAAGAGTAGCTGTTCAAGGCGAACATGTCGGCGCGGGACATGTCATTTGCATCACCGTCGATGGCGCATTGGAAGTAGTTCCAGGTATCCTCGAGGACGTCACGGACATCGGCGGCAGAGTATCCGACGGGAATAGGACGGTCGGCATGGTTCTTGATGTAGTTCTTGAGGTCACGAGTGACGGCACGAACATAGGGGGGAACAGTGGAGCCAGTCTTGACATCATTGATGACTTCGTTGCCGGAGAAGAAACCGAGAGTGTTAGGGTAGGACTTGAAGGCCTCAACAACTGCGAAAGTCCTGTTCAAGTATCCAGCGTAGTACGACTCCCACGGCGCACCACTGTTGAGCGACTCGCCTGCCAGGGGCGAGTTGACGTCGATGATCATGTACATACCCGCCTGCGATAATGGTTAATTCAGAACGGCACCAGCTCAGACATCAAATCTTACAGCATTGAAAATGCTAGCGCATTCGTCGTGGTTGAGGTTAGGGTCCAAGTTGTACACTCGGATGGTGTTGATTCCCAGCGTCTGCATGAGCGCGGCATCTCGCTTGCAGATGTCTCCGTTAGAGAGAGGATCCTTGCCGTGGCTTGGGTCATAACCGGCACTTCCACCAATCTGATAAGCCATTCCGACGATCTGGAACGCATCGCCGCTCTTGCTGTTGACGAACTGGTTGCCTTCAACTTTGAGGGGCGTGACAGCGGCCGCTAGGGTCGCGCCGCCCACGGCGACGAGTGCAGATTTAACCAACATTGTTACCAGCCCCGAAAAATATATCCCCGCGGTTGTGGCGTAGCGGATATGAGGCTCTTTGACTGTAGGTAATAGATCTCGATGTTGTTAATCTAAAAAGTCGACTATCAACTTTGTCGGGCACCACAATCAACGCCAAGCGGTGTTTTCAAAAATAGATATCTTGAGGGAGTGACGAGAATAGGCCGCGGCCAAGTAGCGATTGTTGTTAAAAATGGAATAAGGGAGTGATTAGTGAAAAGAAAGCGCCGAAAAAGAAGTCAGTTAAAAGTTGTGAAGATGTGGAAAGAGTGACGAAGAGGTTGGGTGCGAAAGAGGGAGAAGAGGTCAGATAGATCAATGATTGGAGTAGGAGGGAGGCGGACGGTGCAGGTACAGCACAGGCGAACGTTACCTGGGTACAAAAAGATTGACATGATCTCGACTTGACGAGGGTCTGGAGGGTTTGACTAGCTGACTAGGGCCGTTTTGTTGCCAGTAATCAATGGCGGCGGGGATCGCGACTGGCCAAGTGGGTACAATTCTGTCCCAAGTAGGAAAGACCCCCATAGAAAGAAGTTAGATGTC